AGAATATTGAGAGGACCATAAAATGCCAGAACAACAAACAAATCTGTCTTGGAAGAAGCACTGGCAGAATGTTCCTTAGAGACAAGGCTGGCGAGACTTTGTCATGTGTACTTTGGACATGTTATCCGGAGAGACTAGTCCCTAGAGAAGGGCATCATGCTTGGTAAAACAGAAGGATAGCAGAAAAGAGGAAGACTGTTAGAAGGATCAATAGACCCAGTGGCTATAACAATGGACTCAAACAGAAGCACAATTGTGAGGCTGGTGTAGGACCAGGTGGTATATGATTCTGTTGCATATAGAGTCTCTTAAGGCCAACAATAACTCAATGGTACCTAAGAACAACCATTTAAAAATTCATAGCATTTAATTGGGTGCTCTTACAGATATTATAAAAATACATAAGTCAATTCTATCAAGCAAACTTGTACATATGTACAACAACAATGTTTACAGTGGCAGCCGCATCTTTCTCCAGCAGAGCAGCCAAGGAGTTTGAACCACTAACCTTTTGGTGAGCAACTGAGTCCTTCACCACTATGCTATTCGGGCTCCTTTTCCAAGAGCACTAGATCAAACCAAACCCACTGCCAACAAGTTGACTTTGAGTGATCAGGGTCATAGAGTACAAAATCCACCGCTTGTCTGTCAGTTTGTCATCCTGTGGTGGTCTGCATATTGCTATGATGCTGGAAGCTATGTCACTGGAATTTCAAATACCAGCAGGGTCACCCAAGTTGAACAGGTTTCGGCAGAGCTCTCAGTCTAAAAACAGATCGCAAAAAAGGATCAGGCTGTCTACTTCTGAGGAATCAGTCAATGAAAGCCCTATGAATAGCAGCAGAGCATTGCCGGTCGGTAAAGTAGAAGGGCAGTGAAAAGAGGAAGACTGCGGCCCAGTGCCGCAACAACGGGCTTCAACGTAACCCTGATGGCGCAGGGCTGGCTGCGTTTCCTTCTGTTGTACATAGGGTTACTATGAGTCAGAACCAACGTGACTCTAACAACAACAGTACAGGGCAGGGTAGGACTGCTCCTTAAGGCTTCTGAGACTGTAAATCTGTACTGGAGCAGACAGCCTCAACTTTCTTCTGAAGAGCAGCTGGTGGGTTTGAACCTCATCCGATGTGCCACGAGGGGTCCTTTTTACTTGGCGTGCAGTAGGGATGAAATCCCTCTGGCTGGCATTGTTCACGAGCTTCTGTCAAGTCTGTCTTTACTTTTGTGATTGGGAAGCAGTGTGTGCTCCTGACGATTATAGTCAGCATATGGAATGAAACCAGAGAAAAGACAATCACCCAGGGAGAAGGATAGTTCAGTAGCTAACATCCAAACAGTGGTAGGCTCTAAGAGTTTCTCTGATCAGAGGTGCTAACTGAAAGAGAACACTGACATGAGTCCACAGGAAACGGAGTTGAGATTTTTCAGTGAGCAAGTCAGACCTTTTCTGTCACACAGAGAAGAAACACAAATGTGTCTGTTCGTCCGAGTTGACTAGAGAAACAAATTCAGAGACTAATATGTGTGTAAGAGAGAGCCTTATATCAAAGAGAAATTTTACATTGAGAAAACATCCTAGTCTGGTCTAGATCAAGTCCTTAAGTGCAATATTAGTCCATATGTCTGATACTAGTACATAAATTCCTCTTCAGATGCACACAGATCACATGCATGATGGTGAATGCAGGAAGATCACAGGTTGGTGGGTGGACAGTCTTGTGGATCCAGTCCAGCGCTGGCTCCTCCAGCTTTCTGAGTGTGGCTCCTCAACAGGTAGGTGAAGTAGAGAGGTGTGGGAACAGGTCCGGCACGCAGGAGAGTGAGGGAAACGGAGTCACCGACCGACGCGTGTCACACAGGCTCCGGAGACCGGGCTCTGATGGCGCAGATCTACTTTATTGTTGTCTTTCCGCAATTTATATAGGGCGCATCAGCCAATCAAATGTTACCGCGCTTACTTCCTTGTTCTAAAATTTATCCTTACAAGGTTATGAAATTGAGCTAATGAGGAAGAGGCAGCAAGCTTTGGCCAGGGCTGGCGCAGGAAGCTGACAGAGCGTGCTAGTGCTAGTTGCCGGAGCCATGGTGTCTCACCGCTGTGCCGGGAGCCATTGTACAGAGCGACGGTTTGCCGCTTCTCAGGCCCGCTACAGAAGGCTGAGCAACATTCTGCGCTTTCTGCGCTGTTCCTCCTTCATGCACTCTAAGGCCACAGCCATTACCCCCACAGAGAGGGAGTGCGGCCCACATCCAGGGAGAGAGAGGAAGTTCCCAGAATCTTCCTCATGAGGTCACACCCACCAGGAGGCATCATCAGTCTGTCACCTGATTGACAGGCTGAACTCCACCCCTAGACCTATTTATCAAGGTGACCTGAGATTATGTAAGTACCACAGTGTCCTTCTTTCAAGTCCCCCACATTCTATTTAGAACACTTTTTTCCCTTTAATCACTAATTTGGCTTATGCTAAGACTAATATATAAGACAATTATACTCTTTATTTCACATATGTATGATTGTCTTCTCTCCCTCAAAAGGCTATAAACTGTCATCTCGCCTCGTGTTTTCTCACCTTCTCATGGTATTTAAAAAGATAAAAATAAAATGTATATGGGACAGGGAGGAATGCAATAAAAAAATCACTGTCTTCCAAGCTCATGTCCCAAAGCTATCTTTCAACTGTTATATTTCTTATGTCTTTATGCATAAAAGTTTGTGGATATGTGTAAATGTTTAGATTATTTGGCTATTAATCTAATGAGAAAATGTTAGAACAAATGTAAGTTGATATATAAAACAGTGAATCCTTTTATTTATTTTGTTCAAGGCAGCCTAAAATAAATAAAATTGCAAAATAAGGGATATGTGTGGACATTCCAAGAAGGACACAGCTGTCCTGTCCACGCACTAGCACCACCGCGTACAAACCCCGAGAACTGCAGCTGGGGAGCAGACGGGGTTAGCCTGGCACAGACCTGCTGCCAGCCAGCTCTTTCTGTAATCAATCGGTGTTCCATGGTCAACTCTCTCTATCTCGCTGGTCTCACTTTCCTCTCCTACAAACTGAGAAGGTATCTTCTAAGGGCCCTTGGTCCCTTTGAAAAGCCAGAATTGATGTTGATAATCAAGTAACTACCCATGTAACAGGTCTGTCAAGGCCAAAATCTAAACTTTTATCAGTGCCCAGGACTCAGAAATAGAAGGAAAATGACAGAGACAAAGCCACATATTACCAGACAATGAATGCAAATTAGAATCACAGTATTTATTTTCTACAGGTTTTCTGATATATACTTCATTTAAAAAAGCACATGTAGCAGAGGTATATCAAGCAACACAGTAATACACTGGTTCAGAACTTATGATTTCTCAGTGACCTTTTAAAAGTAGAATCACACATACTAGTGTCCTCATGTGGTAAAGTCTGTGTCAACTTGGTTGGGCCAGGATTCTCAGTTGTTTGTCAATTAAGAGCTAGCTATCCAATCACAGTGAGAGCTCCCTGGAGATGTAGCCCCTCCAATATAAGTGGACTCTATGGGAAAACTTGTTTGCTTTTTGCTGGGCTTGGATCTGGATCTTGCATCCGGTTCATCATCTAACCTCTGGTTTCCCGAGTGTGGACTAATGAGCTGCTGTCTTGCCTGATGATTCTGGGAGTCATCAGCAGGCTGCCATCATATCTGCTGATCTTGAATCCATTCAGCTCTATGGCCAGAAGTCTTGGCTTCATCAGTCCCCTACAGCTATGTGGGTCAGCAACAATCTCCATACTGACATTTGACCAAAGAACTTGCCATTTAGTTGATATAAATTTCTCTGCATTTATACATATAAGCTTCACTAGTTTTGTCTCTCTAGGGCAGCAGTTTTCAACCTGTGGGTCGCGACCCCTTTGGGGGGGGTCAAAGGACCGTTTCACCGGGAGAGCCTAAGACCACCGGAAAACACAAATTTCCAATGGTCTTAGGAACTGAGACACTGCTCCTCTATCTGTCTCCAGGGAGTCCACCCATAAGCAGATACGCCCACATACGAGTACCTGGAGTGACGATTGTTGCCCATGATATGCTATGCTTCAAGACAAAATTTCATTTCTTTGTAATTAGAAATAATATATCATTAAATATTATTTGTATGATTAATCAGTATGCTTTAATTATGTTCACTTTGTAACAATGAAAATACATCCTGCGTATCAGATATTTCCATAGTGATTCATAACAGTAGCAACAAAAATAATGTTGTGGTTGGGGGTCACCACAACATGAAGAACTGTATGAAAGGGTTGTGGCATTGGGAAGGTTGAGAACCACTGCTCGAGAGAACACAAGCCTAAGTGGTCTCAGCAATGCATACAGCATGGCATTCCACAGCACGCTCATGAACATTTTTCCATTATCAAGAGTCTCAGATCTGTCCAGTAACATTCAGTAGCTACTGAGGCCGCAATTAGGTGATTATCCTCTCTTCATTATAATTTCCCACCTCAATGAACTCTCGGGGAAGGATCTTCCTGCTAGCTACACTGCTGCTAAGTCAACGTTTACAGTGCAGAGTTCTATTCTGAGCCTATACTTCCTCAGGAGCACAGATAAATACCAGGGGAGTGATGAGGAGAGGAAGGGAGAGATTCCAGAAATGGTACTGGGAGCAGCACTGTTAAACCTTCATTTAGTAATCTGACCTCAAACTAACACAGCAAAGTCAGTGATAATGGTTCAAAGTTCTTCTAAGTGAGCAGCCTTTAGGGAAAGCTACGAGAGAGGAAGGAGCACCCACAATAGTCTTGCTTTTGCTCTCGGTGGAGGTTTGGAGAACGAACTCTAGAGTAGCACAGATCTGTGGGACTGGCAATACAGACAGTATGTTTATTATTATTAACATCTTAAACTACGGGTTTCCATGAGTTATCTCCTTTGTTCCAGGATCCTTGAAAAACAGTAACAACAACAAAAAAAACCCAAAATCCCACCTCAGTAAAGGAGCCATTTCTTACCTGAAAGGAATTCATGCAGCGAAGGGATGGGGGCAGCATGGAGTGATTCCTCGCCAGTATCAACAGCAGTTCCAAGCAGGTCGCAGCAGGCAGGGTTAGAGAGTGGACACTGATGTCACTTTCCCAGGAACGGGCAAGCCTGAAACACAATGCAATGTTAACTTTCATAACGATATCCACGGAGAAAACTTTCCGTGGTTTTGTGGGGAAAGCAATGTGCAAGAAAAATAGAAAAACCAAACGGTTATATTCAAAATTCAGAAAGTGAAGGTGTAAGACATATTTATGGTGGTGATGGTGGTATTGAGCAATTATTTTCAGTCCATAATTTCATGCTCAAAATATAAGCATGGTATGAAATTCAGTCTTGTTTCTGTTGGACCTATGTGTATATAAAAGTGTGTATATTGAAAGGGGGGCAAATAGCTGAATTAAAAATGGGGGACTAACACTGAAGGCCCCTTGTGTGTTATTCAGTGCTGTACATGTAATACTCTGTTCAACCCCATCGATACTTTCCAATGAACAAAACCTACTGTTATTTCAAGTCTACGGTGCGGGAATCATTTCTGAGCTGGATGTGCCTTAATGGAATACCTAGTTCAGTGATTTTCAAACTTTTTAAAGGTGGCAGAATCCTTTTATCCAACAAAATCTAATAAAAGTCCCAGTGTATAATACAAATAAAAGCAAGGCTGCTTTGTTTGAAAGGGAAGGGTTGCAGGAGGCCTCCCTTCATCTTCCACAGTGGCCCTTGAAGCATCTCTGCGACATCCTGTGGAAGGTATCTGAAAATCTTTTCATTCAAAGATCACAACAATGTTCTAATTCTTCACCTCGTGTTTTTAGCAAAGGGAAAACTCAGGACATTATATATATATATATATATATATATATATATATATAATTTCCACTGAAGTATTTTCTGCCCTACTAAGTGTCTCTAACCACTGTCCTAATTTTCAAAGAGTTATGTTCACTTTTCATTAGCTCTATAAATTTCTCCTTCAAAGCTACTTTGTTCAATGTCAGCTTTGAATGTCTAGTCTTCAATGAAGACTAGAAGCTCAGGCTGCAACAGCCATTGAAGGCTCAGTGTTTTAACACTTTGTGTGACCGAACCCAACCACACCAGCTGCTGTCAAGTCGATCCTGACTCACGGCGACTCTGGGTGCAGAAACGCGCGTGCAATGTTTCCCTGGCTGTGACCTTTCAGACGACGTGCTTCAGAGGTGCCTCTGGATGGGTACAAACCACCGACCTTTCAGTTAGCAGTCTAAGGTGTAACTGTTTTGGGTTGGGTTTTTTTTTTTTAATCACTTTACTGAGGGCTCGTACAACTCACCACAATCCATCCATCCATCCATCCATCCATCCATCCATCCATCCATCCATACATCGATTATATCAAGCATATTTGTACATATGTTGCCATCATCATTTTCTAAACATTTACTTTCTATTTGAGCCCTTGGTATCAGCTCCTCTTTTTTCTCTCCCTTCCCACTCCTTGTAACCCCTTGATAAATTATTATTGTTTTCATATCTTACACCAACTGCTGCCTCCCTTCAGCCACGTTTCTGCTGTTCATCCCCCTGGGGCTGAGTGGGGGGATTATGCATCGATTATGGCAATCGGTACCCCCTTCCTCCCCTCCTCTTCTTACCTTCCCCCTCCCCTGCTGGTATCGCTTCTCCCAATTTTGTTCCTGACAGTTTTTTGTTTGTCTGTTTGTTTTTTTCCTGACAAGTTTATCTGACCTGGATTCCATGTGTCATGAGCTCTTATCTTTACCAGTGTACATGCTCTGGTCTAGCCAGAACTGAAGTCATGATAGTGGGGGATGAGGAAGCCTCAAGGAACCAGAGGATTGTGTTTTTCATAGGTGGTATACTGCGCCCTGGTTGACTCATCCTTTCTTGTGATCCTTCTTTGAGGGGATAGCCTACAGATGAGTTTTGGGTCTCTGATCCGACCCCTAACAATATGGGTTTATTTGGTGTGTTTGTTTTTTTTTGGGGTGTGTGTGTGTGTCTTATGGTGCCTGTTACCTGATCCCGTCATGATCTCACAGGTTGATGTATGTCTTCCATGTGAGCTTGTTGCTTCTGTTAGATGGCCACTTGTTTAAGTTCAAACCTTTAAGACCCTAAACACTGTATCTTTTGGTAGCCAGGCACCATTAGCTTTCTTCACCACATTTGTTAATTCACCCATTTTGTGTTCAGTGATCATGTCGGGAGAGTGAGCATCACAGAATGCCAGGTTGTTAGAACAAAGTGTTCTTGTGTTGAGGGAGGGTTGAGGAGGGACCCAAAGTCCATCCACTTCCTCAATGTATTGCCATATACACACACGTACACATAAGCCAAAACCTCTATTTTTATGAATTAATAGATTTACATTAGTGCACACCAATGTTTATACCTCCATCCATAGCTTTGCTTCCTAGATTTTTCCTCTCACCAACACTACTGGGATCTCTGTGTCCTCCTCGTTGTTGCTTTTCATTCCCTAGTTGTTCCCCTGTCTACGGGGTTGTTTGCTCAGGGCTCCTTGTCATGCCTCCTCCTCCACCCAAGTCCCTTTGGAACCTCCTGTCCCGTTGCTTTCCTCTTTGGCTTGCTCCCCATGCCTATCTCTTAATTTTCTGATCTAACAACAGGAGCACCTGGCGGGTGATTCTACCTGGACTCCATTTTGACTCCTCCCTAATGGGTAACTCTTTGAGGCACCCAGGAACTCCCTCTAGAGGGCAGATCATGACAAGTATGTCAGCTCTATCATCAACCAGGTTACGTATCATGCTGATACCTTTCTGATATGTGGTGGGGCAATTCATTATTGAAGCATTTGCTAACTAGTTAGACTGGAATAACATACTGTTCATTTCCCTAAAATTGGCCCAATTTCCACGGAGTGACTTTTCTGAGTTTTAGGAAACATTACTTGATTTAGATTGACTGTGCTATTATTTCTGCCTTCATTCATTATATAACATTCCCAACATTCCTTTGGGATAGAAATAAAAATTGTACTCTTGTTGGCAAAATTGAGATTTAGTATTAGTGCAGTGGCTATAGCTCACTCTCCTTTTCCTTAAACCCACTACAAAGCAGTTAAACTGCATTGATTATACTCTTTGTATCTTGCATATGTATTTTCTGGCCTCCAAAGTTGTTACCCACCCTTCCTGATGGACTCCTACTTAACCTGCAGAACCCACTTGAGTATCACTTTCCCCAACGGCATCTTCCTGTTTCCCCACTAAGAATTAACGACTTGCCTAATTCTTAATGTTCACCTAGTTTAACATTTCTACCATTTCTATCCTGGGATGATCTAGATGTCTGATTAGACCAGAGATTTCTCTATGTATGTAACTTTACAGTCTAATTTGGAAATAAAGATCAGAAAGCTGCCTCTGTGTTGCTTTTTTTCAGACACACCCAGTTATTAACCTTATTCTGGCTAATAGAATTATTATCCTTTCACTTACATTTGTATGTTCAATAAGTATTCAGAATTTATAATTCCTTCCTCACTTTTACCACCCACAGTAAAATTCACTAAAGCTACTCTCATTCTGATTTTTTTTCTTAATGCCCTGCTTTTTCTGTCATGGATCTCTTGCAGAAAAGGTTACTCAATACTGCCCTGAATGGTGGATGTCCCTTGGGAAGTCATGTGTGAATCTCCATAGCCAAACGTAGGCCCATCACACTGCAGACCTTCAATAAGGGTTTCCTGAGATGAAATAGGGTCCGTTGCCATTCATGATTAAGGATCATGGCAAAGTAGAAATCACCTTTGATGCAGTGTCAAAATATTTTAAGCATTTTTTAGTAGTAGTATACACTTGAATGAAAAGGGAATATAGTAAATTATACAAATACATATTTTTTAAAGAGTTCTCTTAGTTTATTATGGTTAAAACATATTTTCCATGTTTAAATTTTATGTCTTAGGTCTTACATTTCTTTTATAATTTATTCTGTGCCTAACACACCTAGGCATTGGGCCAGCACTTTCTAAAATTTGTCTCTAGTCCTATAGCACCCTTCAATAGCTGGCATTCTCCATCCTATTTTAAAGACAAGGAAGTAGAAGATCAGAGAGGTTAAGCGATCATTCAATATCACATAGCTAGTTAAGTGTCTAGCAAGTCTCAGACGAGCCTGGTTCCAAAGCCCAGTGTGGCTCCTCCCTATCACACTCATCACTGAGATTGCTGTGCATAATATTATCCTCACCAAATAAACCATCACTCGATACCTGCCATTGGGTCAATGCTGGCTCATAGTGACCTCCTCCCCCGCCCCCCGTAGATTTCTGAGATATAACTGTTCACCGGAGTAGAAAGCCCAGTCTTTTCCCCAGGGAGCTGCTGATGGTATTGAACTGTGTACCACTCAGCTCACAGCCCACTTGTACCACTACACCACCAGGGCTCCATTAAATCAACCATAAGTAGTACCTTAATAAGTAATGCTGGGGCCTCCTTCCTATGTATGCTAACAGGCTCCCTGGTGGTGCAGGGGCTGTGCAAGGCCAGCCGTTCAAAACTCCCAGGCGCCCACGGGAGAAAGACAGGGCTTTCTACTGGAGTAAAGCGGGACAGTCTCGTAAACTCCAGAGGCTGTCACCGAGTTGGCACTAACTCGATGGTAGTGAGAATGTATGCTAATGCTCTATAAAACATATACTTAGGAATATCTCAATCTTTCAGAAGCTGCCACTTTATTATATATATTCTAAAACTTGAATTAAAAAGGTAGTAAGATGAACATGAAAAAATATTCAGGTCATGATAAATGGAAATAGTTATATGGTTATAAAAAGAGGAGGAAGAACTATAAAAATATTAATGGTCATTTATATTACAGGGAAAAAATAAACTATAGTTAACATTTTCCTCATTATACTCTTCCCTAAAAATGTTATATTTTTTTCTTTTTTTTTTTAACATTTTATTAGGGGCTCATACAACTGTTATCCCAATCCATACACACATCAATTGTGTAAAGCGCATTTGTACATCGTTTCTCAAAACATTTTCTCTCCATTTAAACCCCCGACATTAGGTCCTCATTTTTCCCCTCCCTCCCCGCTCCCCCCTCCCGCATGAGCCCTTGAT